TTGGAGTGGAAACTATCTTACTTATCTTGATTGCCTATCCTAATCTTATTTGAAAATTTCCCTTTCTTTCATGAATTGTATCTGTTGATGTTCCTGGCTTATTTCGAGGCCATTTGTTTTTCAGTTTATAATGAAGACATAGCTTGGCAGGCATAATTATTCACAAGTAAATAACATATCTTTCAAATTTAGACATATCTAAAAATGATCAGCTGGCAAATGTATTCTAAGAAATTCTGCTCCCTAGTCAGTTTTCCTTACTTTAAAGATTCTCCACATGGCTGTATTGACTGAACATAACCTGTGGATTTTATAATTCTCACACCACCCCCCCCCCCCCCGCCCCCGTGCAAAAAAGTCAGGCTATGGGAGTGATTTAGTTTTTTTTTAATTGGCTTGCCTCTCCCCCAGTCAGGAAACTGTATAACCTAGGACAGCTTTTCTTCGCATTTTTACAAATGTTGAAAGACCTTTTTCTCTGGATGATCCCTGTTTTCTATTAAATATATTAGAACTTGACTTTGAAGTACATCTCTTTGTTACATGAAGAGAATGTGAGTCAATCCTGCCTTGAAATAAGCAAGACTTATTGGAGACTCAATCTAGAAGAAGCGTATTTCTACTTTACTTCTTTGACTCTTCTGAGTGTGTGTGTGCACACGCGTGTGTGTGTGTGTGTGTGCGCGCGCGCACGTGTGTGTGTGTGTGTGTGTGTGTGTGTGTGTGTGTGTGTGTGTGTGTGTGTGTGTGTGTGGTGTTTTTCAGAAAAAGAACAAAATGTTTCCCAACATGAGCAGTATTCTGGTTGTGGGATTGGAAAGAGAGAAGGACAACAAACAAATTGATGTATAATAATACACAGGTTTCTAAGGACTAGGAACATAAAAGATGCAGAATGCAGCGTTAGGGTACACAGGAAACACAGAGATACACTCTCTGAAAGGGTGATGTTTGCTTGACCATGAGAAGAAGGGGGTGAGAAAGCAATAATACAGCTCAGCAGGAGCATTCCAGGGACAGGGCACAGAGCACCCATGCCTTGTTCCTCCACAGACAGCAAGGATAAGTGTTTCTAGAATCCAATCAGAGAAGACCAGACAGATGGTCAGTGTTACAGCTATTGTAGTCCTGAAGGCCATGCTAAAACTAAAACTTGGCCTTTATTTCAAGTCAGATGAAAACTATGTAGAGTTCCAAGTGGAGGAGTGACAAGAACTGGCATGCATCTTTACAATAGATGTGTGATGCATTGTGAAGAAGGAAAGATGTGGCAGGTTTCCAATATGTGAGGCAAGAAAATATTGTATGATTCGCAGAGATGGCAGTAGAGTTTACAATGTACTATCAATGTGACAGAAATAGATGATCAAGTGTTCTACAAGGTGTTAGTCTGAACTATCAAGAGTCTGGCTCACCCATGACTGAATTGACACAACATGAAAGGGTAAGTTTGGGAGAGAAAATTGGGCATTTGGTTTTGAAGATATAGGGATCAATTTTGTCTTTAAATACACAATAGGGATGTTGAATAGGCAGTTTGCCCTCTCCTCTGGAGATCCAAAAAGCAGTCAAAATAGGAAATAGACATCTGGGTAGTGCCATCATAGAAATACAATATAAAACCCCAAAGGTGGATCAATTCACTTGGGGTTTCTGTATTAATGAGAGAAATGAAGACAGAATTTTGGAGCTACTGCTACTATTGAAGTTTATAGAATGAACACGGATCCAATCAGAGACTGAGAAAGAGATTAACCCAGGCGATCACAGGCCGAAGGAGCTAACTTATGCACGGACAGTATCAATTCCTTAGCTGATGATAGGTCTGGCAGGGTGATAACCAAGGATTAGATAGCAGATTTGACAACTGAGCAGCTATGACATCTTAGCTGAGCAGAACCACACCACAATGAATAAAGCCTTCCCACAAGGGCTCAATATGTTGAGATGAAACATTGAAGAAAACAAGTTTGGCAACTCCTTCAACATTTTTGAAATCATATCAGCTACTTGTTTTCCATGTAAAGGCAATCGTAGATGACTTTTAAATAGACCCCAAAGTGTCTCTGTTGCTTAAAGATAGACTTAATATGGACTCATTTTATGGAAGTGACATAGAACACTGGACTTTTCCCAAATGAAGCCTTGGCTCACTTAATGAGCTTTTTTCTTCCAAATTAGCTAAAGAACTTTAGGAGCTAAAGAGATGACTCAATGGTTAACATAGTTGCATGGCAGGTGTTTAGAGCCTTAGAAGTCCACATACAAATGTCCAATTGGTATGTTTCCCTGCTTGTAATTCCAGTCTCAGAGATGGAGACAGAATCCCCAGAAACAAGCTGACTAGCAAGACTAGCAATATCATTGAATTTTTGGTTTGACTGAGAGACTCTGCTTCAATGAATAAGGTGAAGGAGCTATTTAGGATGGCTCCAACATCAATATCTGGCTTCCACATGCCTGTGCACCCACATGCCTTCATACCCACACACATGTGCAACCCCACACATGCAAAAACATGGCTGTGTATCTATGCATATGAGTGCATACACATACAAAAAATACTGGGGGAGGGGGTATTCAGAGAATACTTGATATGATTGAATCTATCTTGCTGCTGTCACAAAGTAATGCTCTTTCTGTTGGTTGATTGTAATGGAAAAGAATATGCACCTGATAGCTCAATAAATATATTAAATCTCATTGCAATAATAGTTACCACTTGCTAAAGAAATTTTGAGTTTTGAAATGTGCCATTTTTCTATTGCTATGTAATTGGGTAACAGAAATTATCTTTAATCTTTTAAAATTAGCAAGTAAAGTATTGCTATAATAATTATTCAAATATTAACTAATTTTTATACTTAATGGAAAGCCATTAGTAAGCAGTTTTTTAATATTGGTGTTGATGAGTTTTGTCTCCAATGCCCATTAGTTTCTGTGAGGGAAAGTTTAAAGAAACTGGAGTAATGTTTCCTATGTAAGAAATCTTTGCATCTCATTCATAACATGCTCCACCTACTGTATTCAGCCACCCTCAGCTCCTTCTGTTCACATTACTAACAGTCTAATGCATTTGTATAAATTGTACTTTAAAATTTGAAGTCAAAATGATGTGTTTCTTGTGTAGCTTAAAGTCTTCATAGTATGGCTTTATTGCCCTCACCATTTTGTTGGTGTAAACTACTGGGCATGAGGAAAAGATTTCTTTTGTAACTGATACCTAAATTTCTATCCTGCTTTAAGCATTCAATTTGCACAGTGGAGACCTGTAATTTAAGACTTGTAGCTGTATCACAAAGTACAGCTGTTTATACTGATCTCTAATTTGCTGAGTGGTACTGGCTGTAATTTAAATTTTTTTCATGTTTTTAACTACTATGCAAGTCAGTATACATCAGAAGCCTTTGTATATTGACAGAGACTTTGAAAACGATGCCTTGTTTTAATTTCAGATAAGTATTCACTTTTTAGGTCAGCAGGTGCAAGACAACCCATTCATAATATTTGCTTCAAATCAATAATAGTCACTGGATGGAAATATCTTGCCCTTATACAGGAACCTGACTTATCTTTACAAGCACAATCAACTTTTTTAAACCTCTATTATTAGCTAATGTTAAAGGTGAGACTTTCTTTGGAACAAAATACATTCTGTTGGCATAAGTTTTGATCATTTACTAATGTGAATGTTTACTAAATCTATTTAAGAACACTTTACTACTTACTGACATTTGATGGAATTATGCTCAGTGGAAAGTCTGTTGTGGCAAACACACGTTCCATTCAAAAGACACTTGATAATGAATGTGATTCTTTCCTTTACATTAGTTTCACTTATTCTGAAATCAGTAAGTCTCAAAATAATCACAAGATAAAAATTGACTCTAATTTGTCTTGTTTCAGATAACTAGGAAAATCTCACTCAAAAACACATGCAACGATTAAGAGAAGTTATCTGGATTTTTCTACCATAAACTTTTACGTACAAGCTTTAACTTTAGTTAACTTCAGGCACATCAATTCAAAGAGAAGGAGTAAAATTTAGTTTTACAACAGGTGTGGCTATTAATTAAAGCTCCTTTCAAGTTGAGAGGCAAGAGTAGTCTCTAATAAAATTTAAAGGATTAGTGACCAGAAGAGAAGAGTGGGAAAAAAAAAAATAAGTATGGCAATGGTGACTCCATTTGCAAAAATAAATATTTTACCTCTATGGTAAATTTGATCTGGTAACTGTTATTATTGTTTATTTTGTTTCATGGGTCACTAAGAATACAATGCTACCATGCTGAAGTCCCGAACTCCTTCTCATGTAGAACTATCCTTTGTGGCTTAGGAAAGGCAGTTATCTTTATCTATTTTACAGAAGAGGACAGTAAAGTTTATAGGGAGGTGACCTCTCAGTATCAGAGACAGAACTTAGAGAGGGTTCAGTTAGCCACAAAAGTTTATCAACAGCCTTCTCCCTCCTCCACCCCCTCCAGTGGCTTAAAGCATGGATACTTCTCAAGGACATTTAATTCATTCAGGCTGAATGTTATTGTGGAAGAAACTTGTATGTTGTTGTTCTTCCATAAACCAATAAATGGAAGACTTTGTCCTGTTATTAATCGTTTTAGTCACAGTCTTAATCCAAATGTTGTCAGTGAATGGTGCCCCCAGCCCCCATGAAAAAATGGGGAACACATTTTATACAGTGACATTCTCGGGAAATACCGGAACCCCCGAATTGGCTTCTGTTAGTACAACAGTCTCTTTCCCAAACTTAACTCAAGAACTACTTTTCCAGTACCATGGACTATTGCTTTCACTCCAGGACAGAAATGCTTGACACCTGGCTTCTCTATGGAGGACTTTGCCACACAACCACCCTCCTGAAGTCTCAGGACTGACCAGGACTGACATCTGCCACTTACCTGTCAGGGGTGCCCAGGCCAGAAGCTCTCAATGCCAGCCCAAGACTTTGGGAGAAGGGAAGAAAACAAAACAAAATAACTTACCACTTTGGCCCAGTCCGAGAACAAGAGAAAACAGCCAGGCCGCCCGGAGAACCAAGGCAGGACCTCGCTGGCAGTTGTGCAGGCAGATCAGTGCAGCAGTCAGAAAAGCCAGGGCCGAGCCGCACATAATGCAAAGCAGCCCGCCCCGCGCCCGCTGCCTGGCGGCTTTCCTGACGTGCGCTCGCGACTTGGGGGCGCACCTTGGGGCCCGCGGGCCGAGAATCCCTAGGACTTTTTCCACAGGCTGGACTGACCCAGCCAGGGGCTCCGAGTAGGCGACACAGGTACGCCGGCCTGAGCAGCTCTCTGCATCTCAGGGCCCCTGCGGCCCTCCCAGCTCCGCACAGCCCCCCC